AGTCTAATCTTAGTTAATCATCACCAATTTAATCCTGAACTAACCTCCCAGGAAATCTGGGCAAAGGGTAAATGGGTCAATGCTTTGGATATGATATCAAATGAATAAACAACAATCCTGACTTTATACTATTTTAGTGCTTTCAGGTGAACCAATTTAGCCATTAACCTTTCAGAGACACGCTGGGCTTCAGTTTTGGTAAAACTGTTCCGATCTGTTTCTTCTGCAAACTGTAATGCATCATTGCAGAAGATAAAGCATAAATGATTGGATAAGTTAATTCCTCCTGGGATGACTGCTCTCTGCCAATCTGCAGTGGATGTGCACATACAATGAGACAGGAAAGGCAGATATAAGATTCTAGTCACTCATGTTCAAATAAAGTAGAGTACTATATAAAAAGGGAGTTTATTAAGAGGATCTGAGGAATATTTGGCCTTTCTCATATGAAAACTTTAAAAGAACTGTGCTTGTTTGGCACAGCAATGTGAAGGCCAAGCAGTAATGTGACCTATTTCTAAATACCTCCAGGGAGCCAAACACTGGGGAGAAGAAACAACATCGGCATGAAAACAAATTAACATAAATGGCAAAGAATTAATTCAGATTGGAAGCTAGCTTAAACATAACATCTTCTGTCTGAATAGTGATATCTGAACAAACTCCTCAAAAGGGTGAGTGAACAATAAAGAAAACTCACCCCCAACACCCCTGGCAGGTTTAAAGATGTATATACATCAATTTCTGAAAAGGAAAGACACTCAGAGGGATCTCTCTCCCAGTGCTTGCCTCTGTCAATATTGCAGCCCTTACAAAGACACCAGTTCTGTTACTAGCAAATGTGCAAGAGAAAGTAGAAACACAAAAAGCCCAACAACTTCAGAGTAGAGATATGAGGGGAAAAAAAACTCCATATAGTCTGGACTTCATGCTGTTTTCCTGTTACTGATCAGAATGAACAGGTATTAATGTTTTCCTGAGTTTCTCAACCAGAGAAGTTGGGTTATTTCACAGAAACTCAGTCCTAGTACCTTCAAGCATAGAAGAAACCAGAAATAATACCTTTCCAGCTCCAATTGGTTTGGCTACATATGTTGCATATGCCACACTCACAGTTTTTTCAACGTTAGTCAAAATGTCCTGTACTGTAACCTTGATGCCAACCTACAAGGAAGGAGGTAGTGGATGAAGGAGAAGACAAAAAAGGTACTGTCAGTTGAGTCAACACAAAATAGTGTGTTATCAAATTAATCACACCCAGTCTCCTTAAACCTAAAAGCAAGTAAGTAAAAAAACTGCCCTGCTATCGCTGATGAATCTCTAAACACATAAGAACATTGCAATATTCGCCAAGCTCTGAAATGCTAGTACAACTGTGTATGCATGTTAGCATCACTTGTAGGGTAAAATAAAAAACAGGAAACACACTTAGATTTAGTTTTCTACATATCGCTTTCCATTTACTTATGTGTCATTTGGAGTCTACATCTGAATCTTTCTGAGATCTGCACAAGCAAAAAAGTCTGTATAAAACATAATGAAACACTTGAAGGTGAAACACTGTATCTGATCCTATGAGACAGGACTGACATGCATCAAACCTTCTGATTTTTTTCTAATTTTTAGAACCTTTTGGAATACATTCTCTGTAAGATGCATCACTCCTATTAATATTAATGAGAACTGGATTTGGGCACAATCCTTAAGGCTCATTTCTGATTTTAAGTAAGTGATGGGGCAGTGTGTTGCATACTTGTTACAATATGACAAGTAAGAACATGCATACTCCTGAGATAAATATTTTTGTATCAGAAGTTTCAAAAATTCTTAGAACTCCACCTATTCAGTGGATCCTAGCTCTGATCCAAAGACTGCTTAGAGGTCAATAGCTTTGAACTGGACCAACACTCCCTATCCCATCCTGTCCATTACACCTGCCAAAGATTTAAAGCGTTCAGGATCTAGTTTCTATTTTGGCATGGATTACTCTACAGGAAACATGCAATTACAATAGTAATTAAGAAACTGGAGTTTCATTAAGCAGTATTATTGTTTAAATAGCTGCACAAAGTTCCTTCTGAACCAAGTAAGACTGTTGCATTCCTCTACTCCTCCCACCTCTCTTCTATTCTGTAAATATTGTTAGGAATAAGAGTGATGATCTCTTACCTCCATGCTGGTTTTGAACGCTCTGTTCACCTTTGCTTTGATGGTAATAATTTGTCCAATCCTGTTAGGAAGAATAACAACTTATGGTGTGTAGTCATGTAGCTTAAGGGCTTTAATCAACCTCTCTAGGTATTTCTTATAGTGGTGAAGAAAATCTCATTAATCAGTCTGTCTCTTCCATACTGTCCTGGAAAACATATAGCACTATTACTCACCAGTCAGACTTCATTCATGCTCAATAATGATTTTAATCACTCAGAAAACTGCATAAGCTTAATACTAGCATTCCTTCTCCTTGCTGATGTCTCTGTGGCATCAGGTGTGCTCCAGGCCCCAGGTCCCCCTTTTGGCCTGGATTATGCTTTTGTTCAAAGGCTGAGTTTGAACATTTGCTGAGTTATAGCAAACCACTGAGTATATCTACCTGGAAAACCACACAAGATATACTCCATGTGCATTCTTTGAAGGATGGGAAAAGAGATCACTTTCTAAGTTTTGGCCAAGAACGGAGATGCAGCATGTCCCTTCCGTCCTAACAGCATACATCTCAACCACTAT